ATTATATCATATCTATATATCTTGGACCAATACCGATAATAAAGATTAAACATTTCTAATATCAGCAAATATTGACCAATTTTCCATTAATGAATGATTTGTTTTTGTTGATCTTTTCCCTTTTTATCCTTCCAGCTTTATAAAAAGTCCTATAAGCTCCGCTCGGAGCTCCGACATCCCGTTCGTCCCTACTCCCTGCCTCCCTACCCTTTACGTGACATCATCACTCCAGTGCCCCGCCCCCTCTTCCCTCCGCTGCCAGGGATCATCGGGGGCGACTACGACCAGAGACCCAACCTGCCGCCTAACCTGCTGCCCCACCCTCGCTACGACCCCATCGGACCGCTTCTGGATCCCGCCGTGCGACGGCCTCGTTTGGATTTCCGCAGACCAGCAGGAGGAAGACCGTCAGACATCCGCAGAGGATTCATCTGAGTGTTGATCCCAGAACTGCACAATAAGAAAATAAAAAAAGAAGAGTCAAGAACAAAATGATTTTATTTCATTCTCACCTTTAGTTCTTAACTAAAAAAGCTTAAAAATACTTTGAAATGTGTTTCTAAAAGAAGCAACGCTCATCTGAAACTTAAACCACTAATCTCTGACTGTAAATAAGAGAAGAATAATTAGTTAAAAACCTTGATGAAAATGAATCCAGGTGGAAGTTGTTATTAAAGTTTTCAACCCTTATGTTTCCTCCAGATGATTGAGACAACAAACTAACTCAGACGGGACAGTTTCACAGGCTTAAATTTTGTTTATCACCTCAGTTAAACAAATTAAACTGAATCAAAATGTGTTTTTCTGGCAGTTTATGTGAAAAAAGGTATTCTTACTTTTTGCCACCTAAAAACTCAAAGATTTATATTTTTGTATTCAGGTAAAACATGTTCATTTGTTATATATTAAAGTTCCAAGATAATAATGTTTAAGTTTGACAGCTTAAATAAAATGGATAAATCCAGGTCTATTCTATAATATCTTCAAATAAAATCTGCAAATTTATGGATGAAAACATTATTGTTTAATTCTAGGATTTTTTTTAAATAAGTGTGGTTTGTATAAAATCCATAAATTTTCACGAATAATATGGATTCATCCATTCTTAGGGGAACATGGATCATGGAAGTAACAGATCCAAGAAGGAAACCCATGGAAACGATGCATTCCAGTTCCTCCTAGGATATATCCCCAGGAGTTAACAGGAATAATTTGAGGGATTGTTTGGTGTTTCTTAGAAAAAATAATTTTAGGAGGTACACAAACCTATGCAGCTCTCTGCTGATCATCGCAGACAAAGCTTTGAACCATATATTTACCGCTCAATCTTTTATTAACATACTCTTCTTCACATCATCCAGTCAGATTGATTCAAAGTTTTCTATCTAAGGAAAACCAGCTGATTGCATCGACTCATTGACTCTTCAGCAATCCCTCACACTAAGCATGCTTGTAGCGACAGTGGAGAGGAAAAACTCCCTTTGAACAGGAAGAAACCTCCAGCAGAACCAGGCTCAGTGTGAGCGGCCATCTGCTGAGGCCCACTGGGGTTCAAGGAGACAGAAGCAGACATAGAAAAAGAAGCATAGATTCAAAAGGCAACTGTCAACCAGCTCCACAGGCGGCCCCGTCCAGGAAACACACAGCCAGGCAGACGAGCTCCGAGCCAGCTCCCATGTCAGAGGATGAAGAGAGCACATCCAGTTAGTCACAGTCAGAGAAACAGGACTACACTGGAAAACAGGCCAAGCTCCAACATCTAGAAACAAAGGTGTTGATGGCAGCAGCACAGCTGATATTTCTCTCCAGGATGGAGTCACAGCCAAACAGGAACAGACCAGATGAAGCTACTATGAGAAAAAGCAGAGAGAGCAGAACGTTAGAGATTGAACTAACAGATTCTGCAGAGTGGGAGAATAGAGATAGAATGAAGCAGAATGATGAAATAAATTAGTGTTTAAATATTAAGTAGTATTGTGAACTATGACCAGGTTTCACCTTTATCAAGTATGTTTTACCTTTTTTTTATCTGTTTTTCTGTTGCAAACCATTTCTCTACCATCAATATTCAGCCATATCTGTTAATTTCATGATTTCTAAATGCTTAGCTTTGAAATATAAATGAATTCATAATTTTCCCTTTAGAAGCCATTTGTATATAAAGTTCAATCTACTTCTGATCTTACGTTTTTCAGCTGGATTTAATATGTATTATGTATAAAAATGTAATATATTAAATATTTTGATTTTATTTGAACATACAGGGTTTTACGTGAGATGTGAGAACGAGCTGCAAATAAAAAAAAATCCTGGTTTTCTTCTCTCGTGTGTGTCAGGAGACCATTACAAATGACGTCATCTTTTGTCTGGAAAATAAGGGTGGGCTCGTTTAAAACCAGGGCGTTTGAGCATTAGGAGAAGTGCAATTCAGGCGGGCGGGGTTTGTCGTGGTGCGACGTCGAGCTTCGTTAGTGGTCATAAAATGTGATTCATTTCAACTGACAGATCTACCTCTGGCATGTAAACAGCTTCCAGGTAACCTACTGGCTGAATTCATGGTTTCTAAGTTCACAGTAGCCGTTTTTTTTAACGGGCGGGGAGGGAATACGGTTAGCTTATAACCGGACCTTTAGTGCTAACTGCTTTCTAATCTTTGAATTCGGTTTACAACGTTTTAAATCAGGACTCTTCTTGGTTTAAATTAATCCTCAAATTAAACCCGAACATGTCAACTTGTCCGCCATATTGGAAAAGGAAACGAACCGTTAGGAGGAGAGAGTTCAAGGCTCGAAAAATATTCAAACTGGGTTAAACTTTACGTTCAACAAGAAAGTATGTTGCTTTCTGGTTAAAGTACATGAATATAAATCTCTAGTGACTTTAGGGTTAAATTAGTTAGCAATAATCCACATTTCTGTTCTTAAAATAAAGTTTTTATTATGCCCCGCTTTCAATACACAAACTTTCACTCATAAAGTATAAAATATCCGTTTAATGATTGTAGATTAAAGTCTATTTTAAGTTATATTAATAGCAGCTGCCCTGTTTAGAAAACTAAAGAAGTTTGGAGCTCATGCTCTAAATGTAACACTACTGCTTGCTTAATCATCAATTTGCTTCTAAATAATTATCTTTCAAATCTCTTTTTGCTAACAGTTATCGTTTTGATTGTGAAAAGCTTTGTATAAAACTATACCAACAGTCTTATATTAAAGGAATAGTCTTAAATTGCACATATTCACTTTTATGTTTAATATCCAGAATTTTGGCAATACTTTTTTTTTTTTTTTAACGCCCTCAACCAGCTGCACTAATACATTTTCTTGCTCTAATTTGGCACAGCTGCGTTTTTCTTGTTAATTTATTTATTTTCTTTTTATTCAGGCGGGCCCTTTGCTTCTATGTCCCCAGATTGAACCGGTGACAGACTCTTCTGTCACACCTCTGCGTGTTTCTGGTTCAGGTTGGGTTTCTGCGCGTCTGAGCTGCGCTGTCTCTTTAAGTCCTTCATGTTACCGGAAGTGTTCGGGGTGTTTCCAGCTGATCGGAACAACAGAAGTAGCAGGATCTCCCTCTGTGGACGGATCTGTCTGCGATAACCCTGCAGCTGCGGCGGAGCGCTCTGGTCCTGACCTCCAGCGGCCCCTTCCCGCTCTAAAAGCCATCTTCTCCGGAGGTGATTTGAAGAAGAACCGGGGGATATCCCCGGTGTCCCTCTCTCCCTCTCTGGTTCTCCTTCAAGCCGTCACTAAGCTGCCGTGAACCGGTACCGTGGGCTGCTTTTAGCCCGGACTGTCATGATCCCAGCTCGGAGATGGCGTCCTTCCCCGGTTTGTGTAAGGCTGTCGGGCCCGCGGAGGAGGAGAACGGAGAGCTGGACGGCTCCCTGCAGCAGATGCTGAAGGCCATCGCCGACGAAAGGAACCGACTAAACAGTCGGCAGGAGATCAGCGGACTGGGTGAGTGTGACACCCTGAAGTCCTGGGGCTCTTTGTGGGAGCAGGTAGCAGCCAGGCAGCCGCTTAACATCCGGACTTATTTCTCACATGAAGCAGCCAGTTATCCAAGGAAGTCTGCTAATCCTGTAATATGTATCACTTTCTCTATGACAGTTTATAATTAGGGGGGTCAAAATAAAGAAAATATTTAACCAGTTAAGGTCCAGAGATATTTTTAATTATAATCTGTTACTTTAAAAATTATTACTGAAATAAAAAGCAGTTTTTTTATGCGTTCATGTTATACATTAAATTAAAAATAAAATATCTAAAGTGTTTTTTGAAATAGAGAACAATCGTTCAGTTTGGTTTATAGATAATTTCCTGATTCCCACACTTTATCAAACCCCTGAACTGATGGTTTGTTATTTTCTTTCTTTTTTCTGTCTTAATGTTGGCAGTGGGCTTTAGGCTGCCCTGCAAGGCTTTAAACCTGGGTTTAACCGGAGACTAAGCCATTCTCAAGCACATATCAAGGAGCTCATTTTGAGCCTGGATCCAGATTTATTGTTGATTCTGTTCATGGTGGAGAATCCTGCTTCACAGCAGCAGGTTGAGCCAAACATCCTCTAAATGTGCAGGGTCATCTTTGAGCACGCCATTTCACTTTTCTTTCACCAGTTCACCGCAGTTCTTCCAGCAGTCCACACTTTCTCTGCTCTCTTTTTCTCATGGTCTTCTCCTTCTTTCCCATCGCCCGGCTTGCCACAGGTTTGCCTGCTGTGTCTAAAAGTAGCAGCAGCAGCAACCCAGACTGACAGCTCATTGGCTCATTTGGATCACGTGCAGCCTGGAGCCGGACGCTCCCCAGGGCTTTACCGTATTAACAGGAGAAGAGGGGCAAGTGAAATTAGATACTGTCTACGGCCAACATGGGGTAATTTAAAGTGTTTTAAATCGGGTTGGGTCCGGATCACGGTCCACTAATCCGTGACCTCTGAACTGATATTTTGTTTGAAACTTTGAAGCTCGAACTGGTAATCTGTCATAACACGCATATTCAAACCTGAAAAAATCGATGTCGCGGCATATCGTGATATTCGGCTTCCCAATATAATATCGATCATTCAGTTCTAGTATTGATTTAAAAAAAAAAAAAAAAAAAATATTTTTTACCTAAAACAATAAGGGAAAATGGGCTGCATCTGCACCCCCACACTGCTAGATGGCGCCATGGAGCCCTTTAGCTGTGCGGCGCGGCGCCGTATTTGTATTTAAGGCAGTTAGAGTGGAAGACGCGGACTGACTCAAACCCCAAACAACATGGATACCAAAATAATTAAATGATCATTATCTTTGGATGAACATATACAGCACTTGCTTTTTTATACATTTAATTTTGATAGCTGGAAAAATATCACAATATAGAGATCTTGCAATATTGTGATGGTATTGTATTGTCAGATGAGTATCGTATCACAACACCCATGCCATTACTCACCCCTAGTGCACAATCATTTTAAAAATGTACCAGACTGAGGTGCAATAATGTGCGTGAGTTTGAAAAGATAACAGAGATAACCTTTTCTACTTGGTCGAAGCACAGATTTCACTTTATGTGGACTTAAAAATAAAATTTTTTTAAGTCCAATGATTGAAAACGGGTCAGAGATTATACCAGACGTCAACAAGATGGAGGCATCCTGAACAACTGTTGAATTTTTTATTTCTTTTTTGTCCTTAAATCAATGTTTAAACTTTATTATATCGTATCAAAGGTTGATAAAATGTTTATTCAGCTAAATACTTAAGTTCTGAATGGTTTGCCTTCCTATTTTTTTCCTTTTTCTGTTTCAATTTTCAATAAGATGTATTGAAAGAAAGCCCTGTCACCTAAATGACACACATATTCAAACCTCAAAATATAAAATGCATTAATAATCACCTAAAAATGCACTCCTACAATCCATCAATATTCACAATCAGACTTCTGTGTGTCTTTTGTTTTCTTTGCCTTAAACTCTACTTTACTGCTGTTAATTTTTAAACTGGCCTTAATGGAAAATCTTGTAGTTTGTTCCTGTTTGTTTAGAAGCTCCTGTGTTTTTTTTGTGGGGGTTTTTTATTTTTATTTTTTTTTATCAGATCCTAAGTAAAAGAGGAAACATGACAGGGTTTAAGATGCCTGACTTTTAAACAAAAACCAGAAGTGATTTCAGAGGTTGGAAAAGGTTTTTTTTCAGCTTTCCAAAATGAGTTTATTTGACGAAGTCATTAGCAGGAGTCAACATTTTAATAAAAAAAGAAAAATATATGATGTTCTGGGTAAAATTGCTCCCTGGGCGCCACACAATGACAGCCCACTGCTCCCCAAGGCGATGGGTTAAATGCAGAGAGCTCATTTCTCCAATGTGAGATCAATAAAGTTCAATTAATAATATTAAATGTGGAAAATTTAAAAGCAATCCATGTTGAAAGTCCAGAGTCCTGAAAAAAAAAATATATATATATTATACTATTAATGTACTATATTGTTAATATATTTACCAATTTATGGATTTTTCTAAAAAGATGGAACGTTTATTGATTTTTACATTTACGGTAATGAAACAAACTAAGCTGAAAATATCATAAAGGAGTTTGTACACAAATGCCACCGATCTACACCGTTTGTTACCAAGACCTTTTTGTTTTTGTTAAATCAGCAGTTTAATAACTGAAGGAGTCAAACATTGAGCTAAAAGGACGTCAAATAAACATAAAAAGACGTCAAATAAACATAAAAAGTGAGTTTACCACCGGTCGTAACGTATAGAGGGAAGTTTCTGCTCCCCAGGTGTTTTTATGGAGACGTCACAGAAACAGAAGAAGCTAGCAGGTACAAAGGCCACATTTCTGAAGAATCAGTAAACAAACTACAAGAGCACTCAGTTAAAACCAAACATGAGATTTAGTGTTGGAATCGACAGACGCTGTGATTAAAACAAGATTTAAATAAATATCAAGCAGATTTCTGACTTATTCTGCATAGTTCCTTCATAACAATAAAATAACATCTTTCAGATGAAATCGGGATCATGGAAACATATCCACTACTTGGAATTGAGGTAAAATGAAATATTTTTAGTTCAAATGGGTCATTAGTTTATCTCCTGCTTTAATGCTGTGTCTCCTTCCTGCGGAGTGGGTCAGGCGTTAGGATGTCCTTTCAGGCTGAGAGAAGCTGCCATAAAGGAGCTAAACTATCCTGCTAAAGTATGAATTGATCTCATTGTCCTGAACCCACACAAACACCCCCAGCTGATAGGAAAGTGTGGGCTGTGCAGTTTGTTGGCGGTTTCTGTCCCGTTTTATCGGCCGCTGAGGCAGAGTGTCGGTGCTGCTCGTTTGCTGTGATGCATAAATCAATAGAGCTCTGTTTAAAAAGCAATGACTTCATCACGGCTCAGAGACCAGAGCTGGTCGCCGCCGCCGCCGCTGCTGCTGGATGTTTTCAGCTAAAAGCAGGCGGGAAAAAAACACCTCCAGCGTCTGCGCTCCGAGACGTTTTTAAAATTAATTAATCAGTTGTGGTTTTTCTGCGGCTGCTGTTTCATAAGTGCCAAAAAATTATTGTTGATATGAAAAAATTTAGAATGTTTTGGCTTTTTTCTCTTCCTCTCTGCTCCGATAGGATTGATGTAATGTTCAATTAATGGATCCTAAAAATCTTTGGCCCTTAAGAGGTTTAAAATTTATGTTCAGGTACAGAAACAAATGTTTTAAAACAAGGTCAAACATTTAAAATGCTTTTAGTTTGAACATGGATTACCCTCATAACTAATAGTATCAGCTGGTGTATTTTGCATCATTTTAGAGTGAAATAAATACTTTAAAATGAATAAATGAGACGATAATAAATTATTATAGTTAGCACAGAACTTCATTAACATCTCTTTCCTCTCTGCACCCTAAGCCCCTCCCACAGTGATGGCTGCTAATCAGTGAAAACTAAGACTTTTCCGTTAGTTTTTAAATGTTTACTTTGGTGATTAAACCCAAAGCCAGACGTTGAAGCTAAAAGATTTCAGTTCTCTTTATTTCTCAGTATCTGCTCTAGTTTCCCACAGAGGGCAGAACTTTACACACCAACAAAGCAGAATCTACACAAATATTTTAGATTTTCACTTTTGTTTGATCAGGAACCAGAACTTTCTGGTTCAGACCTCAGCAAGACGACGAGGCAGAAAAGGGGAAGGAGCAGCTTCTAACTTGCTGACTTTTAATAAAAGGAGATTGTCACCAGCAAACGATGACCGGGTTCAACCTTTATCCCTGCTCTCACTGTGCTGATAACGTAGAAAAATCCAGCTAGATGATGCCGCAGACAGCAGGAGTCTACTTAAGTGTTTTTATGGGAGGTTGTTTAGTTTTTCGGACACAAAACCTTCTAATATTAAAGGTGTCGTTACTTTAAAGCCGTAAAGAGAATTTCAGTAGCAGAAGTCAAACGTTTATGTCTGATTAGACAGTTAGGACTGGATCCAAAGTTCTGCAGTTGAAACCAGGCCTGAGCCGTAAACCCCCAGCAGTACTGTAGTACTTCAGGTAAAGAAGCAGCCGGTGTCTTTTGTTCAGGCTACTCGCCGTCCTTGAATGGTCCTCTGCAGGCTGCTGACTCAGGACTCTTAAAACATATTACTGTCAGTGAGTCAGGCCTCTGCTTGCATCAGAGAGCCCAGTCTAATTTATCATTTTTATTCAGAGTAATATCTGTGCTCCAAGTTTCCATCTGATTTAAATCAGCCCTGACATGTTTGTTTACTTAAAGAGCATACATTCTCCATAAAAAAAAAAAATTTTTTAGATTGTCTATATTAGTTTATTTCCAGGAATAAAAATGGTGAAACATCTCAGGTTTATGAGTTTTACAGCTGGGTTAAATCCCAGCTAGGGAGCCCTTACTGTTGAGATGGCAGCAGAAATCCTGCAGAGAGGATGATTAGATGTTTCTTTGCTTTGATAAAGATATTTGATTTAAG